TAGGGGATTGTATAGGGGACTACAAGAGGGCAGCTGTTGAGAGTTTAGGGGTGTATAGGGTAGATAGGATACATGGGGCTATATAGGGCGGATATCAACTCTAGCAATGGACAGTCAAATGGCAATGCAAGTCTAAACAAACAGGGCAACTGTGGTTGTATAGGGTTGCATTTCTGAGTGTGTATTGCGGAGCGCCCGATGAATGGCCCTGAAGAAGAAGAAGAGGATCCCAAACACTAATCCTTAAACCCTAAGCCCGAAAAATTAAACCCGAAGCCCTAAACCCTAAACCGTTTGGGCATGCGACCTGATCAGAGGTTGCTCTGAGCCAAGGAGTTACACTGCCCTGAGCTCACGACCTGGTCGGTGTTGGCCTGAGTCCATTTTACAATCTTCTGCACGAGAAAGTCATTATTCGTCTTCTTCTTATTATGATTATTATTAGTAGTAGCAGTGGCATTACTGGTATTATTCATATAAACAGTGTGATTATTGTTAGTAGTGGCAATGGCTTGGGCTTGCAAGGCCTTGCCTTCCACAGCCAGAGACGTGGCCCTACAGAAAGCGCAGCGAGAATCTCATCATGCTTGGGGAGCGTGCAGTGCAGGCTGCCACGGGCGTTGTGCAGGAGGAGATCTGTGGAGGCTGGTACATGTTTGGAGATTCTCGGCCATATTTACTGTAGTCTAAAATCCTTAAAGGGGGAATATATAGGGGATGACATAGGGGACTACTATAGTGGTTATGAACGGGGGATACTAGGAGTTTAGACTATAGCTCATATCGCTACTAGCCTTCTGTTCACATCTCGAAGGAGGCACTGAGCACTGAGGACATGACCTGGTGCCTCAAAGCAGTGCAGACAAGATGGGGTACAGAGCAGGGAGACGGCGGAGTCATTGGCCTCTCCTACGGCATCGAGCAGCGAGATCTTTGGAGTGAGAAGATGAGCAACTTGTACAAAGTGCCAACCCGCTTGTACGACTGCTTCCAGCGTCCAGATGACTCCCCCACCCTAGGTGGCAAAGCTCCAAACGCCACAGGCAAGTGCGACGAGGATGGCCTCCACTGCTATGAGACACCATATCAAGTCTACGAGGTCTGCTCGGGGCCGGAGACTGCCACGATCCAAGGACGGAAGTATGAGTCTCTCCAATCCCATTTACAAGATCGCAAAAGACTCTCCGTGCACCTCAAGATTGACACCGAAGGTTCAGAATGGGAGGTCTTGGCCTGGCTCTTAAGCTCACCGGAAGACATGAACAAGATCCGTACTTTAGACATGGAAGTCCATCTTGGTTGGGTTGCGGACTCTGCGAGAAGCAGCGCTCGGGCCTCCATGTCTTCTTTTGACAGGTTGGACTACGACATCCGCCTGCTAGAGGATATCGGCAAGGTCTTCCGGTGTACTGGATCATCTATGGAAGTTCTAGCAGAAGGTTGGGGCAACGATGGGAACGGAGCGTGCCGCGCTTAGTTGCTCCTACTTCTTGCACTTGCTCATGCTCATCCCCCTGTGAGCCCAACTCCTCTGACCATTGCATATGCTTACAGTCGGCCTCAGCATCAGGAAGTGTGGCGGTTCCTGTGATGAGCCTGCTGCATATGCTGCCGGTGGCTTCCCAGTCATCCAGTTCGCAGTCAGCTTCTTGGCGCCCTTGAGGCTCCAAATTACGCCTGATTTTCAGATTGATGCAAACCTGTCCCCAACATCTGACCTCAGTCTGTAAAGTGAAGTGTGTAGTGAGTGGGATTTGGGCAACGGGAATAGGAGCACAATCATGGTTACTCATAGATGCATCGTCATGGGAGAGCCTCAAAAGTTCTGCGACCTGCTGAACATAAACAAGGCTTCGTGCATCCAGACCTGGTACTTTGAGACTGACGTCGTACGCGGCCACCCCACGGCACTGATCTGCCCCAGCAGTCCCAACGAGAGCTGTTGAGCAGTAAGATGGGCCGGAACTGCTTGTGACGAAGATGCAAAGACGCCCTCAGCACCAACAAGCGGCAACCCTCGCTGCAGCGGCCCTTCACTCGCCCACTCCCTTTGAAGCAGAAGCGGCTGAAATGCGGGAGCACGCGAATCATGGACATTCTGGCAGCAGCAGCAGCAGCAGCAGCAGCATGGTTGGCTGGCTTAGGGGCAAGAGTGTCCATTGAGCTGTATAGAAGGCATCATACAGTTGGCCGGGGCTGCACAAGCCAAGCTCTCGGATGAGACCAAGAGACCAAGAGTCCATGTGCCTGCTTCGGCGGACCGTGCAACCTGCCTCTGACAACCCTGGAAACTTAGACTGTTGCCATATAAGATATTATCATATACTATAATATACTATATAGTATAATGTAGTATGATATACTATCATATACTACAATATAGTATCATATACTTTAATATACTTAGCAGCCTCATGCTAGAGCCATGCGCCCAATGTGCTAGGCCATCTGGAACGCGCTGTCGGGTGAGGTTGACTCCATGATAGCTCAAGGCACCTGGTCTTGACACTGCATGCTCACACTTTAAACGCCATCATTTGCAACAGCACAGTAAACGTGTCCTCAAGATTCTTGCAAAAAACACCTTGATTGGGAGGTGAGGAGGAAGTGCAAAGGCGGAAGAAGGAACTGGAGGCAAGCTGGAAGGGCATGGGGTAATTACTATTATGCATACTATTATGTATTTTGCTATCATCATTACTATCAATACGATTACCATGATTATAACTATCTGTTACTACTATTATTATATTACACCCCTATAGTATACTATTTATAATCTATTCTAGTATATTATAGTCTATTCTAGTATCTTATAGTGTTTATTACTACTACTCTTAGGGATGAAGCTGCAGCGGCTGCTGGGTTCAGCCAGGCTCGTGGGAAGTTCGGACCCAAGAAGCTGGAGGCCAGATCGCGTGAAGAAAGGGGTGGAGATTGGGTTAGGATTATAGGGGTTATATTGGGGTAATTGAAAATAAAATGGACAATTTGAAGTTATATAGGGATGATGGAAAAGAAAATGGAAACTACTGCAGTATATAGAGGTTATTCGCTTATGGTTGCCTGGTCTGGGTTGCTTATGGTTGCTTGGTCTGGAAATGCGTTTTCGTTTGGCTCACCTCGTGAATCAACATGACAGATGAAGCATCACCTCAGAACCAGGGGACTTTCAAAGAAGTGAAGCACCAAGAGCTTGCGCGGCGAGCATGATGTCAGCAGCGGATGCCCTGGTGCTAGTAGTTGGCACACTGCTAGGAATACTTTTCTTCCTGGTGGCAGGGCTTGGGAAGCTGATGCCAGGCCACCCCATGTATCAGGTCTTGGGTGCGACCTTCGAAAAGGCTATCGGGCCATTCTTTGGTTTGTCAGCCACGATGACGACAGTACTTCGAATGGTCATCGGGGCTGCTGAGCTGGCTGCTGGGTTGGTTTTCCTTGGGGTCTTCTGGGGAGAGGCCCTGGGCCTTGTCCCAGGAAAGGCAGCACCATGTGCAGATGCCCTGCTGCTCTGTGCCATCATAGGTATGCTGAACATTATGACTGGCGCTCTGATATTCAATTTGGTGGTGGAGCAGCAAATCAAGAAGGTAGTTCCCTACATTGTGTTCATTTTTCTGCTGAGCATGCTCCTCTCAGAGCAATTGGAGGCTGGACGCCTTGCATCCCTCTCGGAGAACTGGATACGACTCATCTACGGCTTCCTGTGCATTTGCGGCCTGGGACTTGTGCTCTCGCTGGCGTTTGCTGCGAAGTACGGTGCAGGGGCCTCCAACATTCAGAAGCAGATGCAAGATATTGAGAGAATGAGAGAGCAGCTGCTTTCAAAGTAAAGCAGGAGCAGTAGAGAGCATTCTGTGATGTAGAGATGGGTCGGCGAGATAGAGTTTCTCTTGACAACTGCTCTTGTGCTTCCAAGCGACGGAGCAAAAGGCGGCACGAGGCCAGCCGGCGCCACACAATCGCTGCTATCGAGCATCAACTCCTAACCAGCCGATCTCTGTGTCAGCCCTATATAATCCCTACAGGCATATAATGTTTGGTCCTCATTGGTGTCACCCTTCAACAAGAATGGTGCCCTATTCAGTGCAGACATCGACCCCTCAAACCAGGTCGCAGTTAGACCCAAATCCATAGGCCCGCCACAAAACAAGCCGCACAACTTCGTACAATTAAGGCCTCCCAAACGAACGGGGCGTGCTGATTTTTTTCGGCAAAGCTTAGCAATTGAGGCCCCCCCCCACACACACAAATTGGGATGTAGCATTACTCCCTATATAATCTCTACATAATCTACACAACCCTAGACTATATCATTCCTATACATAAGCCCTAAACCCCATGCATGACCCCTATATAACCCATACATACATAAAAACACGCACAAGCCCCAAGCCTTATACACCGCCTCTACATCATCCCTGTATATAAGCCTATACGTAAACCCGTGTCATCCTTAGATAAAGCCCAAAACTCCACACACAACCTCGTATGATTATATACATAAACCTTAAGCCCTATACATAACCCCTATATCGTCCCAAACCCTAAATCCTATAAATAACCCCTGTATCATCCCTATATGTAAGCCCCCGCCCCCTGTACATGACCTCATATCATCCCTAAATATACAAGCCCTAAACCCTATACACAACCTCTACATCATCCCTGTAGGAACCTTAAACCCTATACATAGCGCCTGAAACATCCCTATACAAGCCCTAAACCCTATACACAACCCCTATATCACCCTTATATGTAAGTTCTAAACCCCTTGTAATCATGTACTAACAGCGTTGGCAGGTGCCGCAACTTCCCTTGGTGCGACTACGAGTGGAACATTCGGGGTCTTGGCCTCAGAGACCCGATCTATAACATCCCTACGTAGTCACCGTTTGTAGGGAGTTATGTAGGCAATATCCAGGTCTGCTTAGGGTTACATGTCTATGTGGGGGTGTCTAGGGTTAAGGACACACCCTACTTTCTCATTTGGGTATATATGCCAGGAAAGCCTCAAAGGGGACTCATATAATGGTACTAGTGCTATGAGCTGTACATAGGCCTCCTTTAAGTTAAGGGTAACCACTTGATAACTACCCACCTGGGGGTCTCCTTGATAATCCCTGCTTGCGGCGTCTTTGCTGCGACTGTTCTCAGGTTCGACACCATTTCTGGCTCCACCTTTGGAAACCAATTTGTCGGCCGGGTTGCCAACCCTGATGAGGTGCCCCTCATGCAGACCCGACTAAGATGTCGAGCATGTTTCAAGTGTGTGAGGTGTTGCTTTTCCACCGGCGAGCTGGTGGCGGTGTTGCGGGAAGCCGCAAGGATGGGGAAACAGCTGCAGATGGAATTTTCTCAGTTCTGTGAATTCAGTGCCTCACAGGTTCAAGGCCTAGGCGACGTCCTCGAAATTGAAGAGAACGCGGTGCCTGGCGACGATGGTGTCAAGATTCAGGCTTACATTTCAAAGCCGGCATAGCTTCAGACCTGGCACGTGAAGAGGACATCATCTACAAGTACATTGAGGGTGAGCAAAATCTCCAGGCATCTTGACTAGAACTTGGCGAGTCTTGGATGTTGCCTCTATGCAAAAACGCATCTTAGGTGCTCCCTGAACCAGACCTCAATGATGCCGTGCCGCACTTTTACGGCTTCTCTGACCAGCGTGATGTGACTGCTTGACACTGCTCATTCATGTTGCCGCGTCGTGTCGCAAATTTTTCCGCTTGCCACTTTGTTAACTGCTTGCTTTAGGTGCAGTCGTTCGTGCACAGATCCGAGCCCTGCGCAATCGAGCGGTTTGTAAAGGAGGTGCATATGGTCAATGAAAGCGACCACGACAGTTTTTGAAGCATCCTTCCTTGTGCAATGCTTGGCAGGCCGTGGAATCCACAAATCAGGCTCGGCCATGTAAAGCATTCTGCGGTTTAAGCTCCCTCCTGAAGCCCAGGCGATTCTGAGGGAGAGTCGGGCAGTTGGGGAGGAGGAGATCCGGGTGCAAATCCAGGACGTCCGGAGCAATGTGGTGTCAGCAGCTGCCGTTCCCTACAGTAGTTTCTACTTTTCTGTTCCATTCCCCTGCAAGACGCTAAAGGATCCCTTTAGAGCCCTGGTTTCATTGCATTTTCCATGCTCTTCTCCATTTGATTCTGCATTATTTGGGAAATATACGTGTATATCCCCATCCCCTATATTACTATATCCTCTCTACATAACAACCCAATATTATAATTTGCGCTGGGCTTCACTAAGCATAGGTAAGAGAACGTACATTACTGTGTAAACCCTATATAACCCCATGTATCCTGCGTCGGCTTTGCTAAGCAGAGGTACTTGGAGGGTCAGGGGGACTTAGTAGCTAGGCTAATATTTGGGATGATTGGGTTACTAATGGTTACTATACGGGTTATAGGGGTTCTGAACCTACTTACTAAGTCCCCCTGACCCTCCAAGTAAGACTTATGATAACCCGAAACCGTAAACCCTAAACCCTAAGCCCTAAGCCCTAAACCCCAAGCCCTAAGCCCGAAGCCCCAAACCCTAAACCCACTATTGCAGGATCGCGCGGAGACTCTGCGACAGCAACGCCTTGCTGCGGCTGCTGCCCAGGGCTCTCTCTCAGGTGGCCCCAAATGAGCCATAGTAGAAAAAACTCCTCAAAGGGGGGTTATATGGGGGATTATATAGGGGCCTACTATAGGGGTTATTCAGGAAAAATACTAGGACTTTAGACAGTGGCCCCAAATGGGTTATTCTCAAAACTATCGGATTCCTTTGGCTATAGATTATTTTACGGAACCTGATACGTAGCGTTCCAAAGTGAGACCCTAATTTTGCGAACTACCAGAATACGCGACTTATAAAGGTGTCAACTTAAACCCCTAAAACCCCAAATCCCTGCACCCTAAGCCGCGTCAGTGTTAAGGGTTTAGGGTTTTGGGTTGAGTGTTTAGGGCTTTAGGATTGTAAGATGGACGGACATTGACATCCTGCTGAACGACCGCAGCCTTTGCGCTTTGAGCCCTGTGAGCCTCACCTTGCCCCAACTTGCCTTGCGTAGTCTTGAATTAAAAGAAATAAGAATAAACATCATGGTAATAATAGTAATCATACTAACAGTAGTAACCAAAGTAATAATAGTGATAATAGTACTCATAGTAATACTATCAATGAAAGTGATAACGGTCATCATAGTAACCAATTAGGTGGACCCCCCACCCTGTAATAGTGGCTACAAGGGATAATAAGGATTATATTAGGGTCCTCTTATATTCTTCTTATATTACTATTACAGGGTGGGGGTCCTCCTAAGTAACCAGTTTCATCCCCAGTCACATGGCCACGGCAGGGCCGCCAACAGAGCCTGCGCAGACCCATGCCAAGCCGGAGCTGGCCTGCTCCTAAGGTTCTGGTCATGAAAAAACTTCCTGTTCAGGGTTTAGGGTTTAGGGTCTAGAGTTTAGGGTTCAGGGTCTAGAGTTTAGGGTTTAGGGTTAGAGTTCCCAGCTTCTGCCCATGAAAAACTTATTGATTATTAGTAGGGGATATGTAATTATCATCCATTATTAATGAATTCCCATATAAAGCTTTTTCCTTTATCCCCTACTAACAACCAGTATCAGCAAGCAAACCGATCCAAGCCTACAACAAATACAAGACTTCTATCATTATTCTTACTATTGTTAATACTTCTATTATTTCACTATTATTGTTATTCCTGTTAGTATTGTTATTATCTGAGTCAGGGTCCGCACAGGCCACCCCCAGCATGGTAACTTTCCATTTCTACTCCATTCTTCCCTATAGATAACCCCAATATATACCCTAGGCCCTACAGACCTAGCATATCACGACCCCTGAGCCGATCCTAATCTAGGTGCGTACTTGCACTTCATGGCTGGATTTGTTTGGGTGGTGGATGGGGGTTGACTTGCTGCTCAATCTGAGTCTCGTCGTAAGAAATGGCCACAATAGTAATATCCATAATCAAAACACGAGCTATAGTCTAAACTTCTTAAAAGGGGTTAGATAGGGGATTATATTCATATAGGGGATCGGCGTCACTACAGAGAACACTAGGAGTTTAGCCTATGGCCCATATGAAGAATAATGCGTGCCCCCAAGGGCCTGCTGGACGAGCCGCCTGCCCACACCATGGCAGAGGTTGGGCCGTTCTTTAAGGGTCAGGGGGACTTAGTAATAATGGAAAAGAAAATGGAAACTACTATAATATAGGGTTTAGGGTTCAGGGAGCAGGGTTTAGGGTTTAGGGTTTAGGGTTAAGGGTCAGGGGGACTTAGTAACTAGGTTAATAATGGGGATAATTGGGGTTACTATATGGGTTATAGGGTTTTTAACCTACTTACTAAGTTCCCCTGACCCTCCAAGTTTGCCGTGGTTCGGCTTGGATCTCGCAGGTCAATACTCTTAGAATAGAGGTTTCCATTTTCTTTTCCATTATCCTCAAGGTTTCATGCGCATGGGCTTCTGCGATCAGCTGTCAGGCAATACCTCCGACGGCCTTCGCAGCAGAACTGGAGGCCCTGACTCGGACCGATGCATGATCGGTCACATTTGCCTGAAGCTGCAGCTGCATGCCAATGATCCGCGTTGCTGCTTCTAGCCCTAAGGGTCCAAGGACCCAAATGACAGGGCTTTAGGGCCCAAGTACCATTAACATTATAGTATTTGGGCCCTAAAGCCCTATTATTTAGGCCCTTGGACCATTAGGGTAGAGTTTGTTTGCATGCCTTTGCCCAAACTTGATGAATTTTGAATGCCGCCTCTTTTGCCTTTGGCCAGGCACCTCGCGGAGGGCGAGGCTATTCTTTTTCGGGCTGCTCTCCCTGAAGCCCTAGACCCTAAACCCGAAATTGTAGTTTCCATTTTCTTTTCCATTATCTCAATATAACCCCCATATAACCCCAAAATATGACCCTAATCTAACCCCAATATAACCATCTAACCCCAATATAAACCCAATATAACCTTACCGCCAGTGCGGCCCATTTTTTTGTTCGGCCTCAGGTTCGCGCGGGGGCCGAGGTGGCCGAGGAGAGATTGCTTAGCTGCTGTAGTTATAATTTAGGTTTTTGTAGGGTTACATAGGTTATATAGGTGTTTAGGGTTTAGGGTTTAGGGGTCATATATCGCGAAAACGGAAAAGAAAATGCAAACTACTATCGGGGTGTATATGTGGGGTTATATTGGGGAGATATAGGGATAACGGAAAAGAACATGGAAACTATGTCATATAGGTGTAGTATAGGATTTATATTGCACTGACTTGAGAAGCCGCCAGGAGGGCGAGGTAGAGGCCAAGCTTGCAATTTCCTGTGCTGTTGGTTCAAGATGTTGGACCGTGGATGCTCTTGGATCAGGGCGGGCCAAGCGATCGCAAGAAGATCTTGAGGACGTGAAGCCACCCCCAGCCAAGCAGCAGCGCATGAGCCAATCTCGCGGAGATTCTCAGCGTGGCCCAGCCCTGACTTCAGCAGCTCAACCCCAGGCGTTCCAAGCGCCCCAGGCCTCCCACCAGGCTCCGCCGGCCCCGGCTCCGGCCACCACCGCGCCTCCTGCGGCTTCTCCCACACCCTTTTTGCCAAGAAGGGCTGTAGGGGCTGCACCCGGAGCCGCAGACACGCTCTGGGGAGAGGCTGCCGGGGCCAGGGACAGCCTTGGAGGTTCCCAGATGTCTCAGGCTCAACCCGCACCTAGGAGACAGTGGGCCCTGAAAAAGGGGCCCTGATTTAACTCCTCCCCTACATGTTTTGAGGCAGGATGGGAGCGCAAATGACAATGATCCAGAAAAGTGTGGATGTGGGCAAGAAGTTTTGCGAGAAGATGTATGCCGCGCTCTGTTCTGCTGCACCGGATGCTTCTTTCCCCAAAAAGCTGGGGGAATGTACAAATCAGGTTGAAGCATCTCTCCAGGTTATGGGGCCTGTGGGGCCCACATAGATTTTAGCCTGGCTGGGCTGTGCGAATACTGGGCTTCCAGTGGACGTTCAGAATTGCACGCGTGGCCAATGCATCGGCTGAGCTGCTGGGCAAGTCGCGCTGCCGGGACCAAAAGAGGTGCTTTTAACATATTATGATATATTATAATATACTATAATAATATATTATAATATATTACTATTATAATATAATATACAAAAAATTGATATACTATTATATGTCTCAATACGCTATAGTATACTGTTATATACTAGAATATCTTAGGGGAAGATGTTAGGGAAAAGTGGTCGCCGTTTTGTTGACAGCGAGGGAGTTGGCATGTGTGCTTCGTCCCTCGCAGATGGTCTGGATTGCTATGAGGCTTACAGTCTTGCAAGCAGCTGATCACTCCAGAAGCAGCGTTCGCACTCGAAACAGTTCTAACATCTTTCTAAACCCTTATAATAACCCTAATACAACCCCTATATATATAACCCCTATATATTCCCTAATTTCTATTTCATTTCCCATTATCTTCTCCATTTGATTCTCCATTATCCCGAAGTGGGGATAGCAAGTGAGGAGCTTCAGGAGTATGGTGCTCTAGCGCCGCCTTCTGGGCACTGTTGCATGCCGTCAATAGAGGCCGTGGCCTTCCCGACCACTACATGAGCTATAGTCTAAACTCATTAACGGGGGTTATATAGGGGATTATATAGTGGAGTATTATAGGGCTTTTCGATTAAGGGGATACTAGGAGTTTAGACAGTGGCTCACATGTTTCGGACAGCTTCTTGCGCGTGGAAGGACTTGGTGTCCGAACTTAGCGCCGATCATCCAGAGGATGCAGAGGACTTCTGCAAGACAGTGCCCTGTCATTTGCAGAATGCAGGGAGAGCAATGCATAGTATGATTATATTATATTATAGATACTATACTATATCATTGTATTATTATACCATATTATATTATACTATACTATACTATATTATACTATACTATATTATACTATAGTATACTATACTACTTGAGTTCTGAAAGTGCAAGGATCTGGAAGAGGCGCTGCAGGCAAGAAATGTCACTTTGGGATACTGGAGAATCAAATGGAAAAGATAATGGAAAATGAAATGGAAACTAGGGAATACATAGGGGTTATATATAGGGGTTGTATATAGGGGAATATATAGGGAATATATAGGGGTTATATTAGGGTTGTGATATGGGTTTAGGGCAGCTGCGTGTCCTGCGAGGTGTTAAGAAAGCAAAAGATCAACAGCTTGGACCGGCTGGTGAAGCTCACCGATGCCCAGACAGAGCCCTAGAATAAGAGCCGGGTTTTTCTGG